GGGTGGATGTGCTCGGGTGCCCAAAACCCTGAGGGAAAAATGGAGGAGAAGGGATTGTGGCATGGCCATCTCCCCCAGGAGGTGATTTCTCACTTTCCTTCTCTCTCTTTCCGGTGAGTGCACATTCCTATGGCAAAAAATAAAGAAATAAGCAAACATGAAAAGGCAGGAAGTCTGCATAACCCTAGTACAGCTTAGTAGTGCTGAGCGCATTTATTGGCAGTAATACTGCTTTCTCTTTCTAAGGTATTGTCTTGTCTTCTCTCTTGGCCATCCTGTATTTTAGATTCATGTGCATAAGTGAATTTTTTTTTCCCCAAGGCCATTGAATCTGAAACCACACTGATGGCCATGTGGGATCCAGCTACCTTAACCACTATGCCACCTAGCTGGCCCTTGTTTTGTTCTTAAACTTAATTCCATTTTCCACAAACTAAAGTCTTCTTGTACAACCCAATGTTTCTGTTTTGTTATGTCTTTTTCATTTTCAGAAGGTGTGTGCACTTGCCAGAGACAGAAACAGAAAGCAGAGGGAGAAAGCTCACTTTAGTGGGTTCAGTCACAACCCCTTTTCCACTTGCCATCCTATCAGGATTTGGGGCACACATGTACATGCATCTGGCATGTTTTTCAAGCTACCAGGGCTGGGATTCAAACCTCTTTTGGCCATTTGGGATCTGGCTCCCTTAACCACAAGACTGTAGGGATCAGTTTCATAGATGTATTTTAATTTAATCTTTATGTATCAAGGTTTACAGATAATTTGTAGTTCAATTATGTTTCTGTTGAGTTAGTGCAAATTTGTTATTTTTCACGTAATAGCTACAGGGTTTTCTAGTCTGTCCCCTCCTCTGCCTTTTGGAAACTCTTAGAACTCAAAAGCTCTTAAGTGGGCTGGGCCCACAGCACAGCCTTTAAGCACTGTTGCCAGATGGGAGCCAGATCGTGGGGCCAGCTGCGGTTTGAATTCTGCCCTAGCAGCTTGGACAACACATCTGGCATATATGCATGTAAGCCCTGAATCCTAACAGGATGGAGGAATGGAGGGAAAAAAGGATTTCAACATGACCGTGCCCTCTTGAGGAATGAGTTGTTGTTCTCTGTCTCAGAAAAGGATTGCAGGGGCCGGTAGGTGGTGTGGTGGTTAAGGGCACTGGACTCCCACATGGCCAGCTGCAGTTCAAGTCCCAAACCTGGTGACTTGCTCTCTTGCCCCCCCTCCACCTTTCCCTCCCTCCCCTCCCCTCATCCCTCTCTGGTCAAAATAAAGTTAAATAAAATAATAGAGACCAGCGGATAGCGTAATGGCTACATTACTGGACTCCTGTGTAGTCGACCACTGTTCAAGTCCCCACCCCGGTGGCTTAAACTCATGCCAGGTGCATGTGCGTGTGTGCCCAAGATCCCAAGAAGAGAATGGAGGAGAAGGGATTGCGGCATGGCCATCCCCCCTCAGGGGTGAGTTCTTGCTTTCTGTCTCTTGCACTCTTTCTCTTTCTGGTGAGTGCACGTGCCCTATAGCAAAAACCTCTCCAGAAAAAAATTAAATAAAATAATAAAAAAGGAGGTTTTTTTTTTAAAAAAAAAAATTTATTTTTTAGAGAAAGGAGGAACCAGCAGTTAGCGTAATGGCTATGTTGCTGGACTCCCACGTAGTAGACCGCGGTTTGAGTCTTTGACCCGGTGGCTTAAACTCACACCAGGCACATGTGCGTGCATGCCCAAGATCCTGAGAGGAGAATGGAGGAGAAGGGATTGTGGCATGGCCATCCTCCTTGGGCGGGTGATTTCTCACTTTCTGTCTCTCTGTCTCTCTTTGTCTTTCTGGGGAGCACACGTACCCTATAGCAAAAACCTCTCAAAAAGGGGGGGAAGGATTGCAGCATAACTATCCCCTAGTGGGGGTAATTTCTCTCTCTCACTCTCATAAGTGCACATGCCCTCTTAACAAAAATTAAATAATAAATAAAAGCTACTAAACAGCAATTCAGGGAGCTGTTTCTTGAGAGGCATTGTGATATAATAGAAAGAGCCAGAGCTTTAGGGCAAACCTGAATTTTAATTCCAGCTTCACATTTAATAGCTATTTAGATTAAGCTGTTTTAATTTTTATTTACTATTACTATTTTTAAAATTTTGCTATAAGGCGTGTGGGCTCACCAGAGAGAGAGAAAGAGAAGGAAAGTGAGAAAGCAAGCCACCAGGTCCAGGACTTAAACCATGGTCAACCATGTGAGAGTCTAGCACCTTAACTACCATACCACCTGCTGGCCCCTAAGCTATTTTCTCATGGTTAAATGAGAATAGTCATGCCAGCGGGTGCTGTGGTGGTAAAGACACTGAACTCCCACATGGCCAGCCACTGTCTGAGTCCTAGACCTGGTGGCTTGAAAATCATCCCAGGCACTCGTGTTGCATGCCCAGAATCCCGGGAGGAGCGTGCTGATCTGATGTATGGTGACATCGAGCTGCTCAAAGACCCACAGAACCAACCCCACTTTGCATGGACAGTCAAGCTGGAGAGGCGGAGTGGGTCCACGAGGTCGTGCCACAGAGAGATCTACCGTGAGCACTCCAGGGGCCACGCAACAGTGCCCCTGCTGCTGCCTCTACAAGTACATGTACGTCCACAGGCCGTCCGCCCAGATGGAGGCCATGTCCTCCTCCTATCTGACTGCCGGGAAGGAAGCCACAGACGTGGGCAGCGTGTGGTATGAGGAGCAGCAGAGGGGGCTGCTCTCTCTTCAGGAAATTGTCCCAAATTTAGCCAAAAAAGATCAGCCTGTAAAACTGAACTTCACCTTGGTCTTGCTCACTTAGGTCTGCAGAAAGCTGGGCTCCCACAGCTGCTACCAGTGAGCTTTCCTGTCCTGGGCCTGCCTGCTGCACTGCCCACCTTTACAGGGCTCCTGCAGGCCAAGGACCAGCTGAGCCAGGGCTGCCCCTGTGGCCAGGCTGGTGCAGCCTGCTAGTCCTTTCACTTAGAGTTTGTTTTTTAAATGGAAATCAATAAGCCTGAATAATTTGGATGTTTTATTCAGATGTGTGTCACCTCTGTTAAAGTACAGAATCTAACAGTGTGTGATTACTACTTACAAGAATGAGGGAATTCATTGCATCTAGTGCCTTTTTAGCACAAGTTTTCTCAAAAAAAAAAAAAAAAAAAAAAAAGGAAATTGTCTAAGTAGTCATTAAAAATGTCCCAGTAACTTTAGAATGTTTTAAAGACTGTATGCTTTGCTGTATGCTTTGTTGAATTACACTCACAATAAGGAACTAGACAGAAAGAGGCAGACATGTTAACCGTTTTGAGAAGAAAAATTGCACTTTTCACTCCTGTATGTAGTTGGTAGATAACTGGATTTTGCAGCGCAAGTGGCCTCGTCTGAGGGAAGATCCTGGAGCCACATGCAGGCCTCTGCTGAGGCAGGGGCTGCTCCCGCTGAGCAGAAGGAAGATGGTCTTTGCTGTCAGAGGAGACCATTTTAGGAAGACATATTCATGCACCAAAAGAGTGTTTGTGAGAATAAGATTTCCAGTGACCTCCATGGTTTGTACCATGAGGGAATTTCTTAGTCCTGAAAGAAAACGGCTTGGAAACGCCATCCGTGATCAAGATGGGAAAACCTCCTGAAGCAGAAGCGCCTGCATTTTATCTCTCAGTACCCTTGAGATCTCTTTTCATATATAATTTTATTTTTTTCATTCATTTAAGTTGACCAGAGAAACAGAAAGAGAGAGAAAGCAAGCCACCAAGTCCCGGGACTTGAACTGTGGTTGGCCATGTGGGAGTGTCCAGCACCTTAACCACCACACCACATGCTGGCCCCCATATGAACATTTTTTAGAGTTTGTTTTTATTCTTTGTGTCATATGGTGGCTCCCTCAGCATCTAGCACTGGATCTGTAAAACAACTCAAGGTAATTTTCTGGCTTACCCAGGAACACGCAACACAACAAGCTGCAGAAAACAAAAAATCCAAAACGTGTTTATTAAAGAGCTTTGAAATATTTTGTCAAACTATGACTTGGCAACCACAAAAGATGTCATCATTTTAGGTTGGCAACCAGTGCTTATAATGCGATGATTTAGGCAACCACCAGGTACGCGAGCCCAGCACCGAGGACAGAGTTGTGCAAGCAGAGCCTAATGATAGGTTAGGGATGCAGCTTGAAACCACTCCACTCAGCTAAAATGCAGCCTGCCACCTGTTATTTAAACATCAGGAGAATTTGACTAATAACTACTGTGAGTGCAACAATAACTGAACAAGGAGTCCAAAGCATGAGAATGAGTAATACTTTTGTCTAGGGTTACTTTATTTTGTATTCAAAGAGACTAACTTTCTACTATTATGTTTCCCTATGTGCTTTCTAACCCCAAATTAAAACTCATACAAATTCATTTTGCAGAAATCTAAAATCAGCCCTATTTCTTTGTCAAAACATTGTCTTAGTATTTATTTTAATTCATTGTGTTTTGAAATCATTCGCTGGTCATTGAAATGTAAAATACCGCCCCTTTACCAGAGAGGATTCGACCAGGGCTGCCTTAAGGTTTAATGTTACCTTTTCAGTTACTGCACATCTATTATTTTGTTGACTTGTTGAGCTTTCCTAAGTAGAGATTAACTTCAGGATATCTGTATATTAATAGTGGCTAATATGTAATCAGTATTACGATTCAATGTCACATACTGTTCTGTGGTGGTTTCCTGTAGTGATTTTAGGGTTTCAATTAAAATGAAATAGACATAAAAAAATAAATTAAAAAATAAAAAGGGAAGTCACGCTGGGCTCATTGCATGTGCCTCCTGAGAGGAGACTGGAGGAGAATACATTGCAGCATGGCCGTCACCCCCAGGTGGTGATCTCTTACTTTCTCTCTCTCTGTATCTCTCTTTCCAGCAGGTGTATGTGCCCTATGGCAAAAACCTTTAAATAATTTTTTTTCAAAGACAATTACATTTCTAACCATCTTTCCTTTCTTCTTTTTTTAGCAATCATGACAAACTTCCTTCAGATCGTGCGTGACCACTGGGTTCACATACTTGTCCCTATGGGATTTGTGTTCGGATGTTATCTAGACAGAAAGAATGATGAAAAGCTAACTGCCTTCCGGAACAAGAGTGTGTTATTTAAAAGGTTTGTGTGCATTTTCTAAAAAACTGGTGATTGGGGCCGGCAGGTGGCATAGTAGTTGAAGATGCTGGACTCCTATGTGGCCAACCGTGGTTCAAGTCCCAGACCTAGTGGCTTGTTTTCTGTCTCTCTCTCTCTCTCTCTCTCTCTCTCTGTCTCTCTCTGGTCAAATTTAAATAAATAAATAAATGAAGCTAAATAAAATAATTCTTTTAAAAAAAGGAAAAAAAAATGGAGATGGATTGTAGCATGATCATGCCTCCTTAGAAGGTATGTTCTCTCTTCCTTCCCTCTGTTTCTTTCCAGATAGCACATGTACCCTCTGACAACTTAAAAAGGAACAAAAGGTTTATTTTTTTTCTTTTTCTTTTTTTTTGGAGAGGTTTTTGCAATAGGGCGTGTGCACTTGCCAGACAGAGAGAGACAGAGAGATAGAAAGCGAGAAATCACCCCCCAGAGGGGATGGCCACACCGCAATCCCTTCTTCTCCATTCTCCTCTCGGGATCTTGGGCACGCACGCACCAGGTGTGAGTTAAAGCCACTGGGTCCGGGACTCGAACCACGGTTGACTACATGGGAGTCCAGCAACATAGCCATTACGCTAACTGCTGGTCCCAAAAGGTTTATTTTTCATCTCACAGTTCTGGAGGCTGGCAAGTCCAAGAGCAGGCATCTGGCCAGCTGGTGGTGCTATGGCCAAGCAAGCGTGTTCAGAGAGACCAAAGGCTAAAAGAGACCAAAGACCAAAAGCTACTGGCTTTACATCAGCCTGTTCCGAGGAACAAATCCATGAGAACTCAGTTCCTCCAGGCAGCCAGCATAAACTGAGGGATCCACCCCACTCTCAGCCCCCTCCCCCTAGGCTCCACCACTCAGTGGGTGTTGAGTTATAGCACACATTTCTGGGGGAGACACTCAAACCACACAACTGGGGTCAGAGAGCTCAAGGGCCAAGAAAATTTAGCAGCATCCAAAGTCAGTATATAGAGATGGCTCACAGACCAGTGATTTCAAGAAAAAAATGACCTGGAGAGAGTAGAAAACATTAAATGGCGTAATGTTTATGGCACTGGCCTCCCACATGGCCAACCACAGTTTGAGTCCTGGACCTGGTAGCTTCAAACTCATACTGAGCACATGTGCGTGCATGCCCAAAATCCCAAGAGGAAAATGGAGGAAAAGAGATTGCAGTGCGGCCATCCCCCTTGGGGGGGTGTTCTCACTTTTTCTCTGTTTTGCAAGTATATGCGTCCTGTAGCAAAAATCTCTCCCCACCCAAAACTAAATGAACACATCAGAAGCATAATAGCTTTTATGTAAAGACAAACTATTAAAAACTGTAGTTTTTAATCTGAAAAAAATGAGGTTGAAGATGGGTTAAAAGTTTAACATCTGGAAAGAATAGAAACTGATAAATCTAATGGAAAATTTTTAATGAGTCAATTTAATAGAATATAAAATAATTGAATTCATATTCTTCTGACTTTCTCATTTATTCCTTCATAAAAGTTTTACTTAACACTTTTTTCTCTCCTTCCTTTTATCTTTTCACAGGGAGTTGAGGCCCAATGAGGAAGTGACCTGGAAGTAAAAAGTATGGTGGAATTACAGAATGTCCACATTTTAAAAAGTAAAGAGAAAATAAAAACATGTTTGTTATTTAATGTGAAGAATTTGAAATGTGATTCTTTTTATACTGAATTAATATTTCAAGTAATAAGCATTAACTTAAAAAATAAGTATTGGGGGCCAGTGTGGTGGTCGAGGAGCTGGGTTCCCGTGTGGCTGGCCAGAGTAGGAGTCCTGAGCCTGGCAACTTGCTTTCTCACGTTCCCTCTCTTTCTCTCTGTCTCTGGTGAGTGCATGTGCCCTATAGCAAATTAAATAATAATAATAATAAAATTCTTTTTAAAAATAAGTCATTGGATGGCAGCATGATTTATTTATTTTAAACCCTATGGAGGACGTTCTTCCTCTCGCTCGCTCACTCTCTTTCTCTTTTCCCCCTCTCATTAGTGTACACATACACTCCATTATGAATAAAGAAAAGAGTTATCGACTACCTGATTGTATACATTGGTATTATCAATAAGTTTACTTGAATCAAGAATTTTCTCATGTGGAATTGTCTGAGGACATTTTTGACTGTTGTGCCTTTTTTTTTTTTTTTTTCTTTTTCTTTTTTTGGAGAGGTTTTTGCTATAGGGCATGTGCGCTCACCAGAAAGACAAAGACAGACAAAAAACGAAAAATCATCCACGGGGGTGGGGGTGGAGGGGTGGCCATGCCACAATCCCTTCCCCTCCATTCTCCTCTCAGGATCTTGGGCAGGCATGTACACACGCCCAGCTTGAGTTTAAGCCACCAGGTCCGTGACTCGAACCGTGGTCGATTACATGGGAGTCCAGCATAGCCATTACGCCAACCTTTGGTCCCAAAAAATCGTGCGCATTGATAGAGAGATGGACTCGATGCCGCAATCCTCCAGCCTCCATAGGTTTTTGTCATAGGGCGGGCGCCACCATGCCCTTCTGGGCCTTTTTCTAGTGGCTGGTTTTTTCCTCATTCTTCAGGAAAAAAAATTTTTTAATCACATGCTTCAAGGAAACTTAAAGAGTGTGGCACTAGGATTTTATCTGGTAAAGTCATATAGCTGAAAGCTTTTATGACCGTGGGTTTGGCAGAGATTTCTTATTTATAACACACTTGAAAAAGTGAAAATACAGCCATGAACAGGGAGAAAATATTTGCAAAATATTATGAGGGAACTTCCAGAAGTTTGTGGATGATAGAATAAAAATACACGTTCCAGGTCAACAGGTGGTGTGGTGGTTGGGGGCTCTGGACTCCCACGTGGTCAACTGCTGTTGGAGTCCTGGACCCGGCAGCTTTAAAATCATGTGGGACATCTGTGTGTGTCTAAAATCCCTAGAGAAGAAATTGCAGTGTGGCCATCCCCCTGGAGATGATTCATCATTTTCCCTCTGTGAGCGCACAGGTCCTATGGCAAAACGAAAACAAAAAGAAAAGGACAAGTTCATTTTGGTACAAAAAAAGGATGAAATACATGCAGTTTTTTCATAATATGCATTTCTATGGTTTTTCTTTCTTTTCTTTTTTTTTTTTTTTAGTTATAACCTCCATGAAAGAGAAGCAGCATCCTCACCAGGTTCCCAACACTGCAGTCCAGTCCCCGCTTCAGCCAGCCTCCTGGGTACACATGGCGCCCAGTGCATTCAGGAAGGTCCTGGACATGGACCTGGAACCCTCCCACGTGGTCAGTCGCACTTCACTGTTGGGCTGTCATCAGGTCCCCTCCTTAACGCTTAAGAGACCCCTTGAACAACCAGTTTACAACTACAATATGTAAAGAATCCTTATAATAACACAACCTCAGGACCAGCAGATGGTATAAAAGGTATGTTGCTGAATTCCCACATAATTTACCAGGATTCAAATTCCAGACCTGGCAGCTTAAAAAACTCACGCCAAGGGCCAGCAGGTGGCATGATGGTTAAGGGCACTGGACTCCCACATGGCCAACCATGGTTCAAGTCCTGGACCTGATGACTTACTTTCTCACTTTCTCTCTCTCTGTCCCTCTCTGGTCAAGATAGTAAATAAATAAGTTTAAATAAAATTATTTTAAAAAATTTTTAAAACTCACACTGGGTACACCTTAATGCCGAAGATCCCGTGAGGAGAAGGAAGGAGAATGTGGCATGGCCATCCTTCCTGGGGGGTGATTTCTCGCTTTCTGTCTTTGTTCATCAAACGCACATGCCCTAGGGATTTTTGGTATAGGGCACATGCACTCACCAGAGAGACAGCAAGAAATCACCCCCCTCTCCTCCAGGAGGGATGGTTATGCAGCAGCCTCCTCTCAGTTCTCTTGAGATTTTGGGCATGCATGCACCCACTCCTAGTGTGTTTTAAGTCGCCAGATCCAGGACTCGAACCATGGTCAATTTTGTGGGAGTAACAGTAGTCATCAGGGAAATGCAGGCTAAAGCCACAATGAGATACCACTGCGCATCTAGTTCACCAGTTACAACTAAAAAGACTGGCCTTACTGATTTGGGGCAAGGATGTGGAAGAACCAAAGCTCACCCACATGGCCATCCCCACAGGTGGTGACTTCTCACTTTCCCTCACACTGTCTGTCTTCAGCAAGTTCACACACCCTATGGCAAAACTTTAAAAAATGAACTAAAAAATAAAGAGGCCTGAGGGGGCTCATTTGTCCCTTTCTCCCTCCACCGTGTGAGGACACACAGAAGATAGGTCTGTGAACACCTGCTCCTCACTAGCAGTCTTCATTTTGCCTCCCATAACTCTCTCTGCTCCTCTGAACTTGCACTGCCGATGGCCTCCATAGCAACAAAATTAAGTGGGGCTTGTAAGTCCTCACTGTGGGGCTCCTTGGCAGTAACCGACGCTTCTCCCAGGGCTTCCATACTATGGCACTTTCTTGCCTTTTCTCCCCTCTCCGTGGCACCCTCAGGGCTCAGCACTAGAGCCTCTTCTCAGTCTTCTTCCTTCTCCATGATGATTCTTTTTACTCCTATGGTTTCTTTGTTTTTAATTTTTAAATTTGTTACAGGATATGTGCACATGTCAGGGTAACCGTGAAAAGCACCCACCAGGGGTGATGGCCATGCTGCGGTCTCTTCATTCTCTTAGGATTTTGGACATGCATGCACATGTGCCCAGCATATTTTTCAGCTGCCAGTCCAGGACTCAGACTGCACAGTGGGATGTATGTGGATCTAGCTGCCTTAGCCATCATGCCATTGGCTGGGCTTTTTTTTTTTTTTTTTTTTTTTTTGAGAGATTTTTGCTAGAACCATGTACTCACTGGAGAAACAGAGAGATACAGATAGCAAGAAATCATCCACCTAGGGGATGGCTACTCCACAATCCCTTTTCCTCCAGTCTCCTCTTGAGATTGGGGTGCACGCATACACACACACACACACACACACACCCAGTGTGAGTTTTAAGCTGCTGGGTCTGCAACTCAAACTGCGGTCGACTATGTGGGAGTCCAGTGGCGTAACCATTACACCACCTGCTGGTCCCCTGATGGCACCCTAATGCCATATATCATACATTCCAGCAACATAGCTATGGGTCAGAGGTGGGGTTAAAAGGAACAATACGTAGTTTATGGTAACAGGAAGATTTTGTTCAGTGACAGTTAAGGTGCTCTGTTGAGATGTTTCCTTGAAAATTATTTCAGGCAGGTGTGCTGGGGAGGTGACTGAGATTCCATGCCGTTTTCTCTCGGGGCTAGTCAAGGTTTTCACAGACCTCTTCACTCCTTAGACTACTTTAACTATTTTCTTTCTGATACCTTTTTTTTAATGCCAACAATTCTCCATTGTACAGTGCCCTCCAGGCTCCTGAATTCCAGACTAATAGCCAATCATTTCTCAACATAATTATCGACACCTGAATGTCTCATAAATACCGTAAATGTACTGTCTGCAAAGGTAAACTCTTCTTTTCTCAAAACCTTGTTTCTCCGTCAGTATTTTATCTTAATAAATATTCCTCCTGCCTCAGCAGCTGCCAACAAAAACCCAGCATTGTCCCTTCACTTCTGTCTCCCTCATTCCTCAGGGAGAGTTCTCTTAAGTCTCCCGACTTCCTAATGATCGCCGGATGGTCTCCCATCTTCTCGAAGTGTGGCAGAAATGCGGGTTCCTCTGTTCATAAGAGCTTTGCCTTCATTCGCTATGTTAGTGAGAGGAATGCCCGGGCTGCTGTGGCAGGATGACTGCTGGCTAGGTTTTAGACGTTAATCTGGCTGCAGAGCCAAAAGTGAACCAAGGAAAAGCAGGTGCGAAACGATCTGCAGCGGAGATGTCCTAGGTGTGTCCTCGTCTAAATTGTCATCACTACCAAGAGCCCTTCATAACAGCAATTGCTCTCTCTGCAGCCCTCACGATCATTCTCAGATGCAAATATGGGGCCCGCCTATGGCCTGGTGGTTAAGGAAGCTGAATCTCACATGTCCAACTACATGATTCAAATCCCAGACCCAACAGCCTAAAAAACATGCCAGGTGCCATGTACAAAATCCCTGTAGGATGGAGAAGTGGAGGGCAAGGGATTGTGGCTACACCCCATTGGGGGATGCTTTCTCCTTTCCTTCTCTCTGGAAGGTGCACATGCTCTATGACAATTTTTTTTTAATTACAAATCTGACCATGTCTCTTTTAAAACTTTTCTATAGCTCCCCATTGCCTTAAAAGGTACACCTTGGGGGACCAGCAGTTGGCGTAATGGCTATGTCGCTGGACTCCCACGTAGTTGACTGCGGTTCAAGTCCTGGTCCTGGAGGCGTAAACTCATGCCGGGTGCGTGTGTGTGTGCGTGCGTGCGTGCCCAAGATCCCGAGAGGAGAATGGAGGAGAAGGGATTGCGGCATGGCCACCCCCCCGGGGGGTGATTTCTCGCTTTCTGTCTCTCTGTCTCTGTCTGTCTGGCGAACGCACGTGCCCTACAGCAAAAACCTCTCAAAAAAAAAAAAAAGACACACTTTGGACCAGCTCCATGGCCTGGTGGTGAAGGCTACCAGATTCCATGTGGCCAACCACATGTTTTGAATCCCAGTCCCAGCAGCTTCAGAAACACACCAGGGGTATGTGCAGTTGTACTCTCCCAGCAGGGTGGAGAACTGGAGGAGAGAGGACTGTGGCATAACTATGCCCCATGGGAAGAGAGAGGTACTCTCTCCCTCTCTCTCTCACTGACTCTCTCTCTCTTTGGTGAGTGTACATATCCTCTGGCAAATTAGTAGAGAAAAAAAATACCTACGTACATCTTCGTTTGGTTTCAAGGAGTAAGATCTGTCCTTTAAGCTTCATCAAAACCCTATTCCCCCACACACACAGTTAGCGGCTGGAAGGAGTTAAGCTGTCTTGTGTAGACTCCATGGTTCTTTGGGTCCAGATCTTTAAGATTAGAGATCTGTCCTGAGATGCAGAATGAAAAACCACAAACACTTGTAAACTAGGAAAAGGAAAATTTTGATCAGAAAGTGAAGCTTTTTAATAGAAAAGAAATTAATCCCCATGCCAGAAAGACGTGCAGGTGAGCATCTGCTTGAGAAGGACGACTGCAATTAGCAGGGGTTAAGTGCTACTTCTTTTTTTAATAATTATTTTATTTAACTTTATGTATTTTGTTTTAAAAATTGGCCAGATAGGGACAGAGTGAGAGAGATGGAAAGTGAGAAAGCAAGCCACCAGGTTCAGGATTCAAACCACAGTTGGCCATGTGGAAGTCCAGCGCCCTTAACCACCACACCACCTGCCGTCCCTAGGTGTTACTTTTCACTTGAGCGGTGGCAATGAACATTTAATGGGAAGGCCTTTCTCAGTCTGGCTTCTGTGTTTGGAATCATCGGGCTTTTTCCTGAGCCTGCTCATTTCTGTCCCAGGTGAGGAATCTAATTACCTAGTCACGCACACTCTGTGTGGACTTGGAAGGTATGCACAAACACTAGTTTATTGCCCCACTGGGGATCAGGATGTTGACCTACGTGTGAATTTCTGTGTGTACATTTGGAGTGGCAGGAGGGAAGATAATTACCTTCCCTATGAGCTGTTCTCTGGTTTTAAAGAAGAAAAACGAGATTTGCCTTGCCTTCCTGATGCAGAGTTGAGTGGGAAGAGGGAGTCTCTGCAGAGGGTCTAGCTGTGACTCCTGATAAGCTGTGAGTGATGTGGCAGGTGTCCTTCTACTATCTCCTTTTTTTAAAAAAAGGAATTATTTTATTTAATTTTATTCATTGTCTTTATTTTATTTTTGAAGTTGACTAGAGAGAGATAATGAGAGAGAAGGAAAGTGTGAAAGCTTGCTGCCCAGTCCAAGACTCGAACCGTGATCAGCCATATGGGAGTCCAGCTGCCTTAACCTCCACACCACCTGCCAGCCCCCACTTCTACTATTCTTTTGTTCTTTTCTTTTTTTTTTTTTCGGAGAGCTTTTTTTTTTTTTTTTTCTTTTTCTGTAAGGTGTGTGTGCTCGCCAGAAAGAGACAGAAAGCGAGAAATCACCCCCTACGGGGGATGGCCACGCCACAATCCCTTTTTCTCTTGGGATCTTGGGAATGCATGCACACGTGTGTGGCGTGAGTTTAAGCCACCAGGTCCAAGACTCGAACCATAGTTGACTGCATGGGAGTCCAGCAACATAGCCATTATGCCAACTGCTGGTCCCCCTTCTGTTTTCTTAGGCTGCCTGCTCATTTCTAGCTAGCTGCCTATCACAATACCTTACTGTATTTTTCACTTCCCCAGTTGATGTATACTTCCTCTTCAGGTCTACACTAGCATACAATCTGCCAGCCCTTGAATCTCAGCAAGATAGTTTACTATTTGACTATGGACATTGTGATATTTTATCCTCTAAAACATTTATGTCAGAGGATGTGTCCTCTTGCCAGAGAGAGAGAGACTTAGAGATGAAGAGATAGATACGAGGGTAGAGGAAGAAAGCACCCCCTAGTGGGGTGTGGTCACACTGCAACACATTCTCCATTTCTCCATGGTCTTGGGATTTGAGGTTCCTAACCTCTGGAGTAGGAATCCAGCCATTGTGTTATTCAGGTGAGATCTAGCTCCCTTCAGCACTAAGCTAAAGGGTGAGCCTCACGATACTGTTCTTAACTTCTCCGTGTCTGTTTTCTCAAGTGTATAATAGGAATAATAACACCCCCTCTATCAAAGATTGCTGTAGTAAATTAGTAATACCAGGAGCCTTCAAACAGTTCATGGAAAATGTTTACCATGAAAAACCTATGGTATTTGGAGGGACCAGCAGTTGGCATAATGGCTATGTCACTGGACTCCCATGTAGTCAACCGCAGTTCGAGTCCCAGGCCCAGCGGCTGAAGACTCATGCCGGGCGCACGTGCGTGCGTGCGTACCCAGATCCCAAGAGGAGAATGGAGGAGAAGGGATTGCGGCATGGCCATCCCCCCTGGGGGGTGATTTCTTGCTTTCTGTCTCTCTGTTTCTGTCTGTCTGGTGAGCACATGCGCCCTATAGCAAAAACCTCTCCAAAAAAAAAAGGAAAAAAATAAAAAAAACTATGAATTTGAAAAAAACATTTGCACTGAAAGAAACTTGTACTCCAATTCCATTTTCCATGAATTTTTTAAAAAAGGTTTTGTCAGAGAATATGTGCACTCACCAGAGTGAGACAGTGAGAGACAAGGGGAGGGAAAGTGAGAAAGCAACCCCCTAGGGAGGATGGCCACACTGCAATCACGTCTACTTTCCTCTGGGGATTCCAGGTGCACATGCACATGTAATGCCGCGTCATTATCAAGCCACCAACCAGGTCCAGGAGTCAAACCCAGGTTGACCATGTGAGAGCCCAGCACCTTAACTACCCTGCCACCTGCTGGCCCCTCCATGAACTTTTCCTTGGGATGATAACCCTAGTTAGGCAAATATATATCAGGGAACTAGAATGGAGCACTAGAAACAGAACATAGAAGAGGGAATATAAGACCAACTGTATTACGCAAACTAACTCCCGGCAGCATCGACACCTACAAAAAAACAAGAATGAGAAACAAGCTAAAGGGACCAGCAGTTAGCATAATGGCTATATCGCTGTACTCCCATGTAGTCCACAGCAGTTCGTGTCCCGGACCCGGTGGCTTAAAACTCACACTGGGTGCGTGTGCGTGCCTGCCCAAGATTCCGAGAGGAAAATGGAGAAGGGATTGCAGCGTGGCCATCCCCCCGGGGGGGGGGCGATTACTCGCTTTCTGTCTGTCTTTGTCTGTCTGGCGAGTGCACGCGCCCTATAGCAAAAACCTCTCCAAAAAAAAGAAGTAAAAAAAAGAAACAAGCTAAAGAAGAAATGAACAGGTCAAAGGTGGGCTAAGGACACATGTTTTAGAATTAATGCGAGATCAAATAAAAAAGAGGGGGGGGACTCGGGAAAGGAGGTGAGGCTGTTTGCCTCCCTTGCCAATGGCCTGTTCTGTTTGTGGAATGTGTCACTATCTCCCTCAATAAACCTTACGCTCGGCTTGTCTCCTTGGCACAGACGTCAAATTTTTCAACCTAACATATGCAAAGCACTTAGAAAGGTACCTAGCCCATATTAATATAAATATTAATTATAATTTAATTATAATTTTTACACAAGTACCAGGTATTAGAATGAAATACATCCTTTTTCTTAATAAATCTTTCAGTGGAGAAGTAGGAGGAAATAGTAAATAATTACATGCAAATATAAGAAGTAGGAAGTACAAAGTAAAGAGGAAAACAAAAAGAACATAGAACCCTGTTGAGTAGTCCTTTTCTCCACCCCTGGAAACCTACAGCAATGGGCGAAAGCCCAGAAGATCCTCCAACCGATAGGTGGAGCCGTAGCACACCAAGGTCGGCCCATAACAGGACTCAGGAGCACGCGCTATTAGGGTCACGTGTCCCCGCGCTTACAGCTCCGGTGTTTACTGGCTCTTCACGCCACATGACATGTATCCTAGGGAGTGATTGGTCTGCGCCAGACACGTGAGCAGGACCGGGGCGGGGCAGGGCGGGTGGGCGGAGGGGTCATCTTCCACGAGAAAGTGAGTGTCCGCGTTCGGTGGGGAGCTGTCCGCCGCGCGGCGGTCGGCGTGGGGTCCTGAATCGCCGCCTCCCGAAAGACTGGACGGGGCCCGGGTGGCCCCCATCCCGACCTCGCCGAGGCGCCCGCCTCCTCGGCCCGGGAAAGGGAGGGGAGCTTCACCGACGCCCCTCTGCACTCTCGCCCCGACGCCCCTGCAG